TTGTGACTCGCTGACGCAACAATATTAAGAGAAACTGAATACAATTTGTGTTCAATTTTGAGAAGATATGCAACAAGTATTGAAAGGTTAGTTAGTAGTTAAGCACAAAGTTACACATTGGGCTATCTGTACTCTGCCCACCTCTGGTCTCGAAACCTGGTTTCTATTGGTATAAGTCCGCAGACATACCTCTGTGTCACTGGGGGGTTAAATGGTTAGTGATAATCTAATATTTGCTATATTTATTTTAAAAATGCGATCTCTAGTAGTATATTATAGATCAACTAAAAATTATAATACATAATAAAACATTAATTTTATTAAAAAATTAGCAGTAACAAGAAAAATATATTTACGCATAAAATAACAGTAAATAGAAATAAAATACTGTTGCGTCAGCGAGGTCACGTGACTAGTATCACGCCACCTCCTTCCAGAAATACCATGTTCCTTCGTGAATTGTCGGGAGACTACTAGATTAGGCGTAGTTTGGTATATATATAAGATGGTCACAACGTGACGGAATAATGAGTAGTTGAACTGCAGTCAGAGAGTGTGTAATTGAACTGAGTATTGTTGAAGTCGAGCACGTGAGACGTTCGTTGAAAATTATAGCGCGACTGTTGAAATTAAGTGTATCGCAAAGTTATATTCAGAAAGAATAAACCAGTTTTATTTAAGAAAGGACTTGTGTCGCTAAAGTTTCGTCGGAACGAATTTACGGAAAATTAACTAACGAACGGAGACGTAACAATACTATTTTGTGATATCTTTGGAATAATATACTTCCTTCAGTGCTATTGGTATTTTCAAGCTAAATGGTACCTTATACGATTCATGGGCTAAACGGACAGTTTAAGTACTCCAAGGTTCAGTCAAAGTCTGTTCCAATTTAGAACTGTTGAACCAAAAGAGCCGGGCGAGTTCTAGTTATTAGCACTCCGGGACTGTGAATCGAACGGTCCGTGGTTTCTATCCTGTTACCCTGGATATACGTCATAAGAGTGACGGCCAAATCCGACCACTTGATTACAGTGGTTGAACAATTAATAAACATTTAAATGCTCTTTATGATCCACTAGTTAACACTTACTGATGTAACGATAAGTGACCACTAAAGAACAAATAAAGCTAAAAATGAGTATTTTAAAATATTTCCCATGACGTCTGAAATGAACAAATACTTGATTACAGTGGCCTAAGAGTTGGCTGTGGGCTCTGTTGCCTTCTCTCTAGTCTGGCAATTTGAAATTAGAGGCACGTGCAGATAGCCACTTTGTTATAAAAACAAGTTAGAAAATACTCAGTATTATTACAACAGATTAGTAGTAATAATGAGCCACGAAAACTCAGCTTTTGTTACAAAAGATTGGGAGTAACATTGATTGTTTGTTTGAAGTTAAGCACAAAGCTGGCTATCTGTGCTTTGCACATCACGGGTATAGAAACACGGTTTCTAGCGTTGTAAGTCCGCAGCCATACCGCTGTGACAGTGTGTGGCAAGAGTAACATTGAATTAGAAAATATCCAGTATTATTAATAAGGCCCGGCATAGGAATTCGCAATCTGAGGGTCGCGGGTTCGTATCCCTGTCCCACCAAACATACTCGCCCTTTCAGCCGTGGGGGTATTTCAATGTGATGGTCAATCGTTGGTAGAAGAGTAGCCCAAGAATTGACAGTGGATGGTGATGACTAGCTGCCTTCCCTTTAGTCTTACACTGCTAAATTAGGTACGGCTAAC